GCATTACGGTTCAAACATACACATCCTTTTCACCACCGAAGACAAAGGAAATGTGTTTGCCCTTGTCTTTGTGTTGTTTTGTCTGCAGTGTTAGCAAAATATCTCATGAACTAGTAAAATGATATAAACAAAACTGTCTGAAAGTAATCATTTGTGCATCATCTACAACTGACTAATGTTTGGAGTCAACTGTCACTGTTCAAAAGAATGTCCCAACACAGACGAGCTACATCTAATGGCCAGAACTCTGCAGTTTTCACTCATTTACAGGCCAGCGGTCACTCTTTCAGAGATGAGGATGTTCTCATTCTTGATAGAGAGGAACGTTGGTTTGAGAGAGGAGTAAAAGAAGCCATTTTTGTGAAGAAAGACCGTCCATCATTAAACAGAGGTGGAGGCCTCCGTTTTCAGTTGTCCCCCTCCTACAGCGCGGCTATTGCCAGTATCACTCCACCCCCTGTTAACAATAGGTGCTAATTAGGTGTCAACGATAGCCATGTGATGTGAATATCAGTCACCTGGAGGCAGGACTCAAAAGCCTGAATTTTGCCTGAAACTCTCAGACTGAAGAAGTCTCTTGGAGGAGAGACGAAACGTTTCATTAGAGAAGAACCCGTCCAGAAGACCTATACAGTTTTTTTCTTTTTTGGAGTCAATATGATTCAAGATGGCCCCCACAGTTACTCAACATTAGCCAAATTTGATGTGGTAATAACTGAGATGTTCACRGCACATACTCTTAGCATGACATCTTCAAATATTCCATGAGACTGTGCATAATGTTCAAGGTTTGACCAAARCAGGTACATTTCTCATCTTTCAACATGAGATGGTCTTAGCTCAAAACACTGGCATTAAAAGTGTAAACAATTATCAAACGCTGGGCCTTTAATTGTTGAATACTTTATAAAAGTGGATGCATTTCTGTACAAAGCTTGCAAAAATAAATATCATAGCTTGTATAAGTAGCACTGTGACAATAACTCACATATTGCATTCTGGAGTGAAGTTTTATATTTCCCACACCCAGTTTACTGTAAAATGACAAMAAAGAGGAAGCTGATGGCCACAGATACTGTATCAGTGGCTCTGCGGGATGGTKTGTTATTAACATTGTGCAAGGGTGTATTCATTTTTTCGGAAGATAAAACTCAGCTGCGCCTTGTGCTCGCTCAGTTTACGCTGACATTTCAGGGGGATGTGGGGTGAGGGGCAGCCCTCCTGTTAGTAGTGTTGTGTTTTTCATGTTAAACCTCATTCTGCATCTATTATTGTCTATWTTTTAAAGTTTCCTCCACATGTTTAGGTGTCTCTTACCGACAGGATAAATGTGAACCAGGAATGTTTTATAGGTAATTTAAAAAATATGCTTTTATAAGTCACTGAATTCGATTAGTCAGACTACTTTTAAAATAATTTATACTGTTATATTGAATACATTTTTGACACCAGCCAGAGAACAACAAAAGGAATGTCTCCAGGCCTCATTGACCCCCTGTTTTTCAAAGGCTTTTTGTTGATTCAGTTTCAGATTTTAGTAAAGTGCCCATGCTAACATGAAGACAACCTGAGACAGGTGTTTATGTTCCCATAACTTAAGAGTTATATTCCAGTATTCATTGTCCTTACAGAAAATTATGTTTTAAAAGCTGACTACAAATACAGTAAGTAGTACAGTTGGATTGATTATATGGATTTCACAAAATTACTCATGTATATAAAATGTGTGGTCTCAATTTTTTTTGGAAAAWATAAAGTCAGTTATACTATCTTGGCAGAGTTGTACAGTAACTAAGTACAAATACTTTGTTACTGTACTTAAGYAGAAATTTTGGTTATCTGTACTTTACATGAGTAATTATTTTTCAGTGTACTTTTTACTTTTACTCTTTACATTTTTACACAATTATCTGCACTTTCTACTCACTACATTTTTTGAAAAGGTAAGAAGTAGAAAGTCGTTACTCCTATTTTATTCAGAGT